CAAAACTTGAGTATTTGAAGTTATTTGGAGTTGTTTGCAAGGGAAAAAGATCATCCCCTTATCTCTTCCACCAAGGCCACCAGATCAAGTGATTCGGGCTTTTGGAATTTCATCCAACAACCTACCTGTTTTGATCCCTTAAAAGGTGTAATAATTTTTGGCCGTTGAATGAAATTTCGAAGGCCTGGATCACTTGATTCGGTGGCCTTAATGGAAGAGATCCAGAGAGAATCTCTTTCTGTTTGCAAGTATTACTCTTTATGCCCTTCAAATATCAAAATAAACGAGGAATATCCATTACCGTATACCTAAATGATTCCTCACAACCACACACCAACTAAAATTGGACCAAATTTACTGCTTTGCATAACTAGGATATACTTTATTTTTTAAATCTAAATTACCTATTAATAAAATTCTCGTTGTCAACTAGAATTCCATGAAATTACTATTTTAACTCTCTCACCAAAATTAAAAATATGGGCAATTTAGTAATTACGTAAACACAAATTTCGTTGTTTTACAGCAACCTCACAGCCAAGTTAGTATAGAATGCCGTATTTAAAAATTAAGAATAAAATAACAAATGAAAACAACATGCTCACTTAAAAGAAACTGCTCATCATTGTCCAATTTTCCTAACTGATTTTTTTTTTAAAAATTTTAAAAACTAATCACACTTCTTAATTAAAAAAAAAAAATAACAAAACAAAAAAATGGTTCATACACAGTAGGTGTGGGCATTTGCTAGTTTAGAAATAAGAAAACTTGAAAACAAAACATTTTCTTCACTTAGACCCATCTCCAATCCTTGAGTTAAAATCTAAAATTTTTAACCCAGAAATTTAGGTTTTAAACGAGAAACAATTTTTGTGCTTCAACTGTGACATCTCACATTGCCTAGGAGAGTGATCCTTATATGTATATTCCCATCTTTACCTAGCACGAGGCTTTTTGGGAGCTTACTGGCTTCGGGTTCCGTAGGAACTCCGAAGTTAAGCGAGAAGAGGGCTAGAGCAATCCCATGATGGGTGACCCACTGGGAAGTTGCTCGTGAGTTCCCAAAAACAAAACCGTGAGGGAATGGTAAGCCCAAAGCGGACAATATCGTGCTACGGTGGTGGAGCGGGCCCGGGAAGTGATCTGCCCCGGGCCGGGATGTGACACCAACCCTTTTGGCTTAAATATTTAGCCCGAGATTCTAAAATTTAGGATAATTTTTTTTCTTAAAGTAACCTTTTGTTAAAAAAAATTATGTAGACAATCCTAATTTAATTTTATGAACATTTTTTTTTAGTATATTGATATTTTTACACTAAGGGGGAGGTGAGTTCAGCTAAGCCACACAATGGGTAGCCTAATTTGGTATCGAATTTGCCATTCACGAGATTCGAACATAAAACCTCTCACTTCCAAGTAAAGAAGAATACCACCAAACCGTAGTACTGAATGACAATTTTATGAACATTTGAACCTAAAAGTATTTAGATTTTGATAAATATTGAAAAATCACTAGACCTACACCATAAAACTCGTAGAACACTATAAAAGAATATGAAACAAATGAAAGATTTTTTTATAATTATTTTAACTTTTGGATTTAAATTTGAACCGATAGATTTCATAATCGTTAGATTCAATGAATTTATCAATATAAAACTAAAAACAAAATACACATATGTGCGTCAGCCCACTCACCTGAAAAAGAAAAAATTTGGGCTAAAGTTGTCCCAAAATTAAGCTTTCGGTTAAAACTCATAGTTGGTTAAAGATTAAAGCTGATTAAAATAAATTTAGGTTTTTAAAGCTGATTAAAATAAATTTAAAACCTAAATTTAAGTTTTAGTTTCGAAAGTTGTAGTAAGTCTTATATGACAAATGCACATATTTATAATTCATATGGTATTCGTGCAATGTAATAACAAGATTCAGTTCTCTTTCTCCGAGTCACGATTTTTTTAATATAATTTATCTCGAAATTACATTTCTCAACACTAAAAAAAGAAAATGGGAAAACAAAATATGTCGTTGGACGGTTGGACCACCGCCTCGGAGTCCGAACTCATCCATACACTGTCGCGAATCTACGCACGAAAGATCCCGGTTCCCCGCTCTGTCCTCAACAGGTTTGAACACGCGGTTAGCCATGCTGTATCCTGTGGGATCCCATCCTCCCCCATCAGATTGACCCTCCGGTCCCACCACCCCTTTTAACCGGACTCAACACAGCGGGTCCCACTCTGGCCATTTACTTCGTGCATGAGTGTGGGCCTCACTCGCAGCTCCGCGCCCAAATCCCCGGGCCCCACATGGGCGGTGCATGGATAGCCTCGTCCACCCTCGTCCGTAGTCGATGCATTCGCCCCCCGCTAGATTATCGACACCAGAGCCTTAAGGACACGTGTCGCGAAATCAGTTTGATAAATCCTTCTGCCTACTGCTGACAGCAACTGACGACCCAGATCTTCTGATGGAGCATTCGGACGACGCAGATTATTTTAAAATTACAAAATATCCCAAGAGGCTTTTGCTTATAAAATTGGAGCAACCCCTCTTCTCTTTTCTACTCACTTATTTACCCAGTCCAAATATTTCCTCTCTGAAAATCGAAAACCAAAGCTTTTGAGATATTTTTTGAGTCCTTATTTCCTCACATCTTCAACAAATTTCTGTTGTGCAAGTTCTGTTCGAAATTCAAAAGAGTTAAAAATGGGTGTTTTGGATCATTTTTCTGATCTATTTGATTGCTCAAGTGGGAGTTCCAGGCTCAAGAAACGCAAACAATTCCAGGTAATTCTATATTCCCCTTCTCAACTTTTATCTAATTCTGAGTTTTTTTTTTTTTTTGCTTGCTGAAAACACGAATCGAGGCGACGCAAGACTAAATCTCAGTGTATCTCGTCAAAAATGCTAATCTGCCAGTTATAATGTTTGTGGGTTTTGAGATCTAGCAAGTATTTTCAGCATTTTTTTCTTGGATCTGAAAACAAGTAATTATTTTTTGTAACCTGTTCTGCTTTTTGCTTTTCTTGTTCATAGCTCAATCATTGTTTCTAGATTCCTAACTTTTTTGTTGGATAAAATCCATTTCGTTTACTCTTTTCGAGCTCCATCTTACTGTCTCTGTTTCTCAAAGAACAGTACCCAGTAAAATCCATTCTCCAATCGCCACGTGTACAATGTCACGTATGTAGTTTACTTATACATGGAATTGTTTTGTGTTTGATCAGACGGTGGAGATCAAGGTGAAGATGGACTGCGAAGGATGCGAGCGGAAGGTGAAGAGATCGGTGGAAGGAATGAAGGGCGTAACGCAGGTGGACGTGGACCGCAAGTCCCACAAGCTGACGGTCGTCGGATACGTGGATCCCGGCAAGGTGCTGGCGCGCGTCGCGCATCGGACTGGGAAGAAGGTGGAGTTCTGGCCATACGTCCCCTACGACGTCGTGGCGCACCCTTACGCCGCTGGAGTGTACGACAAGAAGGCGCCGTCCGGGTACGTGCGGAACGCGCAGGACCCGCAGATGAGGAACCTCGCACGTGCGAGCTCCACGGAAGTGCGCTACACCACGGCGTTCAGCGATGAAAATCCCGATGCGTGCGTTGTGATGTGAGCTGTCACTTTTGCGACGTGACATGTGGAATCTGGACTTTAATTAAAAAAATGTTTTAATTTGTTTTTTGATATGTCAATGTCATAGGTGTGCCTTGCATATTCTTTTTTTTTTTTTTAATTTTTTTTTTAGGTTTGTCGCGAAATCAAAAGTGTGAAATTGGGTATGGGTTGGTCTATGATTGTATGTCTAGTTGTTTTTGGATGTTATGAAAGATTTTAGATATTTTAGTTGTAGATTGATCTCCTTTATTTTTAATTTTCTTGGGTCTTTTTTTTATTAAATGTGTCTAAATCAAACAAAAACAACGATAAATTGGACAAGGTGCAGAGAGAGAAAGAAATGTTTCCAACATTTTAACAAATTTGTTCTTCGATAATCTTCTCCAAACCAAAAAAAAAATAAAAAAAAATAAAAAACCAGCCAGGTCAGTAATCTTTAAAAAAGAAGAAGTAAAAAGTCAAGTCGGTAACACGAGTTATAAATCGATGTACTGATATAATAAAAGCATGTGTTATAAGTGAATTGATAACATTGTAGCGACCTATAACGTGTTTACGCACGTTACACAATAATTTTGGGCATGTTGCATATTTCCTGTATTGAAGTATTTAGGATGAATGATTGAGAGCAGTTGGAAAAGTTGTTTGGCACCTAAGAAAACATACAACGCACTTGCCCACAATGATTACTTAATTGAAACGAGAGCTAAAGTATGGTAGCAATCGCAGATGGCACTTCGTTTTCAAGGGTTGGATTCAGTGTTAAAATCATTAATTGCTTCAATAATTTTAAGATAATGTCTATGCCTGCCGAAAATTAGACGCAAACTTTTACCTAAATTCAAAATAGTGACAAATAATGCCACTGTCTTTGAATTTCTTGGGAAGAATAGTATGTGATTGGCAAACAACCGCCCATATCTTGGCGTCAACTACCTCCAGCCAATTGTGCTAAAGATCAAACGAATCGTTTGAAAGTGTTTTTAATTGATTGAGATTACTTTCATAAAATACAAAGTATTTTTATAATCCAAAAACATTACGTTTGTTAAGTGCGTTTTTTTTTTTTTTGGCGTTACTTTGTCTTAATATTAAGTTTTAGAGAAAAATGCTCTGTCAGGGTCACTCTCAATGTTTGGCGACGCAAACAAATGTGATAAGAGACATTATCAACATAAGATTATGCTAACCTCAGTTGCTCAAGTATGGTCCCCACAAAAATGGGCTTCTATTGCTCCCGTTGGGCCAGATAAAAGCCCATTAAAACATCCCAATTATAAACCCTTGACATTTCCCATCCAGGCCAGTCTTATCTTCACTCAGAGTCTCGGACCAACATTTGGCGGGAAAATCAGAAAGAAGCAGAAAAGCAGAAGAGCTCGAAGTGACAGCCGCACCCATGGCGGAAGACCAGGACCAAGATTCAGCTGTCTTAGAGGAAGAGTACGCCGTCTGGAAGAAGAACAGCCCTTTCCTCTACGACCTTATCATCTCTCACCCTCTCGAATGGCCCTCTCTCACCGTCCACTGGGCTCCCTCGGCGCCGCAGCCCCACACCGACCCTTCCCTCGCCGTCCACAAGCTCGTTCTTGGGACCCACACCTCCGATGACTACCCCAACTTTCTCATGGTCGCCGACGCCCTCCTCCCCACATCCCAGCCCAACTTTGGCGCCATTTCCGAAAATGACCCTGTGATGCCTAAGGTACTGAAAGATCGGTCCTTTTAACTCATTTCATAGAAATAATGTCTGGGGTACCAAGTATTTCCTAAGATTTCCAGAATATGATGTGGGCTCTTATTAATTTGAAGAAATGAATCGTGGGTAGTCGGAATTTGTCAGAAATATTTTGTGGGCACCAACTGTATGTTAAAATTTCTGGCTGAAAATGTTTGCATTTGTGCTTGGTGTGGTTGTAGGTGGAAATAACGCAGAAGATTCGGGTGTTTGGGGAAGTGAATAGGGCACGATGGATGCCGCAGAAGCCGACTATTGTGGGTGCAAAGACCAGCGGTGCGGATGTATATGTGTTTGATTGTTCCAAACAAGAAGGAAAGAAGCATCAAGAGGAAGCCTGTGATCCTGATTTGAGGTTAAGGGGTCATGACAAAGAAGGTTATGGCCTGTCTTGGAGCTCTTTGAAGGAGGGTTACCTTTTGAGTGGTTCATATGATTGTAAAATTTGCTTGTGGGATGTTTCTGCTTCGGCTCAAGAGAAGGTGCTTGATCCAATCCACGTTTATGAGGTAATTTTGGGACTAAAAACTTAATAGTTCTTGAAATGTCGTATGCATGTTTTGGCTATTGGGCTGTTAGTGTTTTGAATGTGTGAATTCTGGATGGTTTTCTTCAGCGTCATGAGAGTGTGGTTGGAGATGTATCGTGGCATCCGAAGAATGAGAATTTGTTTGGATCTGTTGGGGATGATTGTCAGTTGATGATATGGGACTTGCGCACAAACCAAACCCAGCATTGTGTCAAAGCTCATGAGAAAGAGGTGACTACAACTTTAAACAATTTCATTTATATGATTGTGGCTTTTCAATTTATGTTTGTGAGATTTCTTGTTCCCGAAATACTTACCCCTTTGAATTACACAGACTGAGTAATAACTTCTGTCACTGATTTTTGTATATGCTAAAAGAAAAGTATGAATTATGTAGCTTCACATCTGTCACTAATGTTCTGTAAATTTCCATTCTCATTTTTCTAATGATCTCAGGTAAATTATCTTTCTTTCAATCCGTATAATGAATGGATTTTGGCCACAGCATCTTCAGACACTACTGTTGGTCTGTTCGATATGAGAAAGCTGACAGTGCCATTGCATGTTCTGAGTACTCACGGGTAAGCTTTCAAATCCCCCGTTGTCCTCTTTGTAAAATCAATCAATTATATACTACCATCATTTCTTCTCATCAAGCGTATGTCGACATTATGCTAATGATACCTATTCTTTATGACACGATTGGCAAGTTTTTATGAATTCTTTTGGCTTTGAAGTACATGAAACCATAATTTTGAGCTTGATGTAGTAGCCTGATTCCTCAAGCTACTGTTTTACAATTTCTCATTTGTTTGTTACAAGTGACGCACTTAATTTGACAGCCAGTCTGCACTTCCTTAGATTCTTAATATATTGTGCGGTAGAAATTCCTGAAACTAAGACTTACTGTGCTAATATAATTGAAGCATGAACCCTTTGTCAACAAATGAATAAATTTTGGAATTATCAATGCACAGTGGCTACTCATATTATGCATTTGGGCATAATTTTCTCATGTCAAGAAAACATATTGTTGGAGTCTTCATCGTTTCTCATATATTAGCGTTTGCAGGCCACAGTCGTTAAACTGAGATTCCTAATCCTCTATTTGTTCTTGTAGGGAGGAAGTATTCCAGGTTGAATGGGATCCTAATCATGAAACTGTGTTGGCATCGTACGCTGACGACAGAAGGTTGATGGTTTGGGACCTCAACAGGTACTCCATTTCTCAGACTGGTTCTGTTAGAAATGCTTCTGTTTCCGTTTATCTTCTGGGTCAAAAGTCCATTTCTGTTTCATTTGATTGCAAGAGCATTATTGGGATTATATCTTGGGACTAAAAATTCAAATCATTATCGTAATAAGTTATGAACTTATATGGTCGATGCGTTTTTAGGATTGGGGATGAGCAGGCAGAGGGAGACGGCGATGACGGACCACCAGAACTTCTCTTTGTACATGGCGGTCACAAAGCAAAGATATCTGATTTCTCTTGGAACAAAAATGAGCCATGGGTAATTTCAAGCGTTTCTGAAGACAACACTCTTCAGGTTTGGCAGATTGCTGAAAGCATATTTGGCGACGACGATGATGACGTGCAAGCCCAACCTTCCTGTGTGTAATCGGAAAATCTCGACCGTGAACTTGAAGATATTTTTCGTACCTCTTTGGCTAGTGTTTAGACTTTCTAGAGATAGATTATGAGAGTAGAAGAGCATGTAGCTTCTCAGAAACTGCTGTTGGATAATCGGTTTGCCAACCTTTGATTTTCTCCTACTTGTTTTATCTCTTATGATTTTAATGACGTTAAACCTTCAACTAGTTTCATTTTCTTTATGCATCCATAATCGAGAAACCTTACGTATTTTAGTGCTAGGAGCTCATAGTTCGGTTGGATAAGACCATTCACTCGTGTACACTTCAGGATGGATTTGCGCATTTCCACCATGCCCAGGATGAAAGCATATTGGCTAATGATTGCAAGGCATAAATTCTTACCTCGAGGGGACACGAAGGGCTAGTTTGAGATTGTTATGCTTTTTGGATAAATTGTTTCTGATGTGCTTTAAAAATAATTAATTGCAAAATAAAACAGTTGAGTATTTGATAAACTTTATTTTTAAAAATGTTGTGGGTTTGAAAAGTAGTGTAAAATGTGTATAGAATGATAAATAATGTCATTGTTTAAAATTAATAAGCTTATTGCAAGAATTAAAAAAATTATAAAAGCTTAACTCCATTTTTTTATTAAAACAGCTTTCAAAAGCAACTTACAAGATGTTCTTAAAAGCTTGCTGTTTGAAGACCATTGCTTTTAAAAAGTAGTATATTTTATTTTTACCAAATACTTTTTTACTGCTGAATTTTAACGTGAAAACATTTTTGATGAAAATCAGCAATACCAAACTGGGCCTCATCTCAAGGCTACGCATTGGAGTGATGCAATATCGCTGGTAAATTTCCGAATCCGACGTTATTCTTGGACTCCACATAAAATTGAAGCACCTACTTTATAAACCATGGTCCCTCGTCAAAAAGACAAACAAAGGACATGGTATTGAAAACAAAAGCAATTATCCTTTCACCTATCGACAAAGATGCATATCTTCACAGTAAAATTCGACATTCATCCGACATGAGTTTTCTTGGGCTATCTAACCCCACTTGTGTAAGAAATGTGAAATCATACAAAGCTAATCCATAATATAGCAGCAGATTCTATGACAATATTACCAGAAAACAAACATAGACTATTCCAAAATATAGCAGATTCTATAACAATATTACCCGAAAATAAACAGTCTTGATAAGCTTAGATCAACGGGAGGCGGGTGTACTGTTTTAACAAAAATGCCGGGTTTATATAGGATCAAGAAAGAAGCAAAGAAGGGGAATAGGAGGTAGAACAAAGAGGAACTTAATTTTAATTCCAAAAGAGGGTTGGTATAAGCGGAAGTAAAAATTAGGTTATAGATCCTCCACCACCACCACCACCACCACAAGAGTTGGTAAGCCTGAAGGCCGTTCCTGTCCCTGTCAGTTCAATGGGTGGGTTGGTTAGCAGAAGCACATTCTTCACATCATCTGACTGACCATCGAAGGGCAGGCAATGAACCTACAGACATCCTCGTCATTTTTCACGCCAATGGTGGAAATAGGGTTTCCATTGACCTTCACAATGGCCAGATGCATCACTCAAAGGGGAATATACTGTGAAATTTGTCCACTAGTCAGTCACCAATTATGGATGACATGAATCCTTTGAAAAAAAAACTTAGCGCTAGAACAAGAAGCTTCTTTCCCGACATAAATGTATATTTTGTTCCTTTTTACCAAAACCCGCTCTTTAAGTTATATCATGCAGAGAAACTTTACATTAACACTCACCTGCTCGCAGCTCATAGTACTGAAACATGAAAGAAATCACATGCCACCTTCCCTAAGTTCTGTAATTCAGCAATCAAGAATTTATGCGTCTTAGAAAGAGAAGGAATGACTAAACGAGAACTACTTAAAGCAGATTAAATGAAACTCGGAAAAACAACATGAGCCAGAGGTAATTTGACTGATATATCAGTAGCCTAAAAGTATTAGAAGGCTAAGAGTCAAGAGAATATGAGTTTCATAGAAAATCATTAAGTTGCTTTGCCAAAAGTTTCACTGGCTGGCTATACATCATCTAAGTTTACAGCACTAAAGGACATGCAAACTTAAATAAAAATTTGAAGAATACTAGCAGCAAATCCAGCAAAACTTCAGCTTGACATTGATAAACCATACTTGTTCCAAGAACCAAACATGTTAAAAGTAATATAAAATTTGGAAACATAACCATAAACACAAAATGACCTGAATGAAAGCTGATGCTGCAGTTTGAAGAACTACTTATTGCGTGATGATATATGTACTCTTCAGGACAATGTCAATGCTTCCTTCCTGAGCAGTTCAGTTTGCTGCTGCGGCTCGAGTCCCTCCTAATTGGGCAGAACATAATAATCAGTTAAAATTTGCAAACTTCCAAGTTCCAAACAGCTGTGTTCAGGTCCATTAATTTCATGGATAAGGACAACAAAAGAATAACCTTCAGCAACTTGCACGGGAGGTAGACAATTAATAATGTAAATACTACTACTTTGGCTCATATTATGTTAGGTAATAAAGGGCTCATGCATGCCAAATTTTGCTATTACCGAATTATTATAGATGACTTGGTCACATAAACAATGATCTGTCCATCATTGCTCAATGAAATTAATCCTTTGTAACTAGAAGTAGTGCCCCCAAGAACCATCTATACAGTGCACAAAAGACTCACGAGACAAGTTCTGTATATATCAACATTTCAAAATCTCTCATGGTTAAAACCCAACTAAAATGCTTACAGAGAACACAACTAAAACAGCAGAACCGGCAACAAATATCAGAAAACAAATAGAAAGGTAAAATCAGAAAAATAACTCCGTTTAGCCGACTAACAAATGCAAAATAGTCATAACCATACGCTCATATAGGTTACAAGGTTAAGGGATCTTATGTCTTACTTTTCCTCTTACTTGTGCCGGAAGAATTGACATTCGACACCCCATTTCCAAGTCCACAATCAGGAAGCTCCTTGGCTCCTCCATCCTGATTAGCAAAACACTGAAGACTCTCAAAACCACAGCCGTTAAAATCCTGCCCATTCATCACTGCACCATCTCCACATTTCCCATCCATCCCTGGATGAAGGCAGTAAAGCTGATCATCACATTGGACATTACACGGATTCATAAAAATGGCACCGGGCATATTTGGGTTGGGCAGGCTCGGATTCACTGATTTCTTATATGGAAAAGATCCAATTTCTCCTTCAATCCTTCCTCGAATGTCAACAAGCAAACACTTGAGCCTAGCAATCTCAGCCTCCAATGCAGGCTGACCCTGCAACCTCATCACCAACCGCCGATTTTCAGCTCTCAAATTCACAACTTCATCCTCCAACAACTTAACCCGCGCCTTCTCCTTCTCGCGGTACTTACGAACTGCTACCTTATTACCCAAAGGCTGTTTCTTTGATTTCTTTTCCCCAGATTCAGCAGTATCATCAGTTCCGGCCTTGTCTTCACTCGCTGAAGACAGAATTTTAGTGTGCACATGAAAGCAAGTGTGTGTGTGGGAGTAATCAGGGCCGGGTGGGTTGCAAGTGTGGGCGTGAGTGCAAGCATGAGTGTCCTTAAGCAGGTCATCGAAGAAGCTGTCCATTGAGCAACTACTCGCAAGTTCACCGCCCATGTTTGCACCCGGAAACACCTCCTGGTCGTCCATTAGGGTCAATAACACGAAGGAATAAGCTCCAATCGAGTGAAAAAGCACCAAAATTTCAAAACTTGGCCTCAACCCAGACCAAATTTCGAGCGCGATACTCTTAACAGACTGAAATCAGAGAAACCCAGATGAAAAATTGAGGTTCTTGAGTCCTGTTCTGCACGAACAGAGCGAAATCCACCGAATCAATCACGACCCAGAAAGGAATTCAACAACCCAAAATCTAAAATCGATTAGAATTGGCTGAAAACGAAAGATTCCCAGCGCGGACGATTAACAGTAGGGACAATTCAAAAGGGTAAAATGATGAAATTGTACAACTATTCAAGGCGATTGAAGTTCTGTGGCAGATAGAAAATAGTGGAGGAACCCTAGGGAACAGAGAGGCGGTGGGAAAGAGGAAGAGAACACCCCAGAGATGAAAACATGGGAGCATTCAACGCGAAGAAAATACCAGAAAGATGAACATACCGTGGATTGGGATTGACCAGTGGCTCAGAGATTCCGCCCACCTCTCTTTCGACAGTTCGTCGAAACGTCTTGGCTCTCAATATATACGTATTTATTGACACAGTAATGGGGTAAATCTTAAAAATTAAAAATTATATTTATTGGGACAATCATCGCCTTAGTTCTAGGCTACCGTGAAATATGGGGTCCATTTGTGAACATGTTTTCTGAAGGTTGATCGTGGCCGTCCGTTGGCGATATCATGCGGTGAATATGTTAGAGCAAAGCAACCGTGCTGTGTAAGTCGTTCTGTTTACCTGTGGTCCTGGAAAAGAGATATTTCCAAGTCACCGCAATACTGGAACGTATTGACGGGCTGGTTCGAGAATTTGGGGTCCTAGCTTCCTAGGTAAGCTTTTGAAGTCGAGCTTTAAATTTCTTTGAATCTCGGTTTTTTGTACATTGATATGTAAGAAAAGAATTTAATAAATAAATTATATTTATACACCAAATATTATTAAATTAACATTATAAGAAGATAAATATACAAACATTATTTAAATATCACACATTTCACATTTTTAGACGCAAATGTATTAAATGTTTACAGTCAATACCCTAAGATTGACAGTGAAGAACAATAAAAATTGACAAGTATAATAAATTCAACGTCAATTGTTTGTCTTATGTTTTTGCTAAAATCAACATCACGCTAACAAATCGAATATTAAAATAATCCATTAAATAATAAACCATTGAAAAGTAAAATATAAATTCAAAATTTTTATAACCTTAAAATACAATTTTCAAGACCATGTAATAGTTGATTTAAACATTTACTAGAAATGAAAAGATTGGGAAGTTGAAAGAAAAAAAGATTGCAAAGGGACTTGTGTTTTATAACTCTATATGCATTTGAATAGATGAATTATGAGTAAATTTGAAAAACAAGAAAAAACTAATGACTAAAAAAACAGCCCCATGTTTCAAACTCAACACCTCAAAGAAAATGGAAGTCGAACATTTCCACTCAACTTACAAACAAATTATGGTATTTCTTACTTTTTCTTTATTTATATGTTATTTATAAGATGTATAAAAATTTTGGGGCCTCTCCGAAGTGGAGGCCCTAGGCGGGCACCTACAGGGACTACCATTTAGGGCCGATCCTGATTGACGTGACTTAATCGTAACTGTTTAAATAAGTGAAAAGAGAAGGAAATGAATAGGAGGGAGGGAATCATACTCCTTGATCAAAAGTAAAGACAAGGCTGGAACTGATGATACTGCTGAATGGAGGCAAATTATGATTTGATCTCCAATTGTTTTGGAGATTAAGCTTGTCTGACCTTACTAGGTTTTATGTGGAGAGCGGGGAAAGGACCCAAGAAGCTGAGAAACCAACATTATCCTTCCACATTCTTCAAATTTGTGTTATATATGAAACCAACAGAGACAAGTTCTTGTTCCAAAACACAATTAACAATCATTTTATTGCATGTTCGGTCATTTTTACAATAAGAAAATGTATCTTCTGCTTTGCTCGGACTCGTTTAAATCGTTTTCATGAAAAATACTTATGTTGGAAATGTGTTTATTATAAATATATTGAAACTTGCATTAAAATTGTAAATGCATTCTAAAAAAGTCATTGAAAGTGCTTTTTCGAAAAGCACCGAGTCTACAAAATGCTTTCATGATCTAGATGCTCCTTTAAGTTTTTATATAAAATGTAATTTTTAATAAACAGGGCTTAGAAGGGCAAACAATGTTTACTGTGCTTTTAATGCAAAGTTTACTGTTCTTTTTTTGTTTTATATTATTATGGGTACTACTAGCAGAAGGGCATAATTTAACTTTAAGATTATGCTTTAAGAACTCCTAATTTTTTTGGGTGGTGCTAGTCAAAAACTTTTTTTTACCTTATATTCAACATTTATTAATTTATTTCATTTGATCATTATTAAATTTGATTTGACGATCAAATATTAAAAAGAATGTTTGAAAAATAAAAAAAAATGTGTGAATAACACGACCCACTTTTTTAGAATCACGATCTCGTTTCCTATATCTCAAGGGAATTCACTAATACGGCATGAAACCGTTCCATATGAATTGCTTCAGTGCAGTGGCGGATCCAGGATTTTAAACTCTGAGGGTCCCAATTATAAAGGTCAAAAAATTTATAGACAAAAATAACATTGAAAATTTAAATATAATACATTTCATTTAAAAATCATATGCAAAACAATATTACAAATTATAAAATCATAATTCAAGCGTCCATTACGAGGTTTCATAAGTTACTAGGGAGTACCTAAGTTATTGATTATCTAATATGAACCACTAAATTTAAAGGGGTGTGCTATTCACACACCCCTTTTTGCGTCTCACACACCCTTTATTTATTTCTGTCATTTAATCTTTTTTAATTCAGTCGATCCGACGGCAGCAAATTAAGAGGGTGTGTATGAAGTAAAAAGGGGTGTGTGGATAGCAAATTAAAACACCGGTCAAATAAAACTCTCCCTAAACTCCCACTATCTTTCTAACCAAACACACCATTTTTCTCTTTTACTAGTTTCCAAACATTCACCTTCTCTCTCACTAAGAACAAAGCTGCCATACCTCCACTAACCGCCTCCCTCCCCATTCTCCCGAAGCCATGGTAGCTCCACCACCAAATTTCACCAACCCATGACAGATCATATCCATCTTACTAACCTTATGAAGGAAACTTCACCCATAAGAAAAATTACTAAGATGGTTGAAATAATTTGGGAAAGTTTGGGATTATGTACTGCCCTCACCAGACGACACAGAAAGGTTGGAGGAGAAGTGGGTGGCACCGATGAATGAGACCATGGCAGAAGCAAGGAGGAGAGAGGCAGGAAGGGTCCCTATTTCTTTCTTCCCCGTGCGCGGTCATCTTCTCCAAGAAGAAGACAGCCACTGCAACCTACACAGACCTCATGATTGAGTACGAGGGGTCCTCGGAAAATTTATAGCAACGATTTAGGATTGCCGACGGGTCCTGGGACCTCCCTAGTCCCTATGTGGATCCGTCCTTGCTTCAGTGGACAAACCCTAATACAACTGACTAAGTTAGGTTTGTTTTATTTATTTAATTAATTAAGAAATTTATTTTTCTGATGTTTTTTTTTCAAAAATTTTCTCATGGTATTTAACACTGCCAGTTTGTGTTGCACAACTACAAATTTGTTTCTCATAAATCATAATCCAAATAAAAATTGGACAAACTAATCAATCCTAATCCAAATAGAAATAGGAAAGTATATATAACTCCGAAGCCAAAAACCAAAACAACCATAGAGTAGAAATCAAGACCCGATTATTTTTTTGCTTCTTCCATCTAGTTCCTCAGTTCAAAGGTTTGACAATGATGTCCGCATCGTGTACTACTCTGCAGATGATGGACACACGAAAGGAGAAGGCCGAAAGCAAAAGAAAGAACCAAAAGAGGAGCAAGAGGAAGACAAGGGAAAACAATGCAGACATTGATCTTCTCTTGCCATGTCTTCTTCAACTAAAAAAACCGTGTGCCAATCGAGAGCTCTCTAGCAGACTAACGGAAACCAGTTTTATGCAGATCTAGTCGCAATTTCTAGAGCTAACTTCGAATTGGGTTCCTCCTCCCTTGAAGACTCAAAACACTACCGAGTGTGACGATCGACAGTGGCTCTTTGATAAGGCGCTGCCGCGCTGCTAAGGAATCCAAAAGCTAGTGCTAGCATTGATGGTTTATACTATTATCCATATACAACAATATTTTAGGCATTAGTGCGAGAAACTCGTGCCTTAAGTTTGTGTACGTAGGTTTGTTTGGTTGTTATCAGATTCCAGTACAAAACTTATTCCACTTTTCAGTTATCTGATTTACACTGCAAATTTTGTTACAGAACTTCCGTTTTAGTTTAGCGTGATAAGTTAAACACGAATATTGAATGAAATACCATAAATTAGAATCTACAAGCAATTTAGATATCACTAGGTATTTGAGAAAACCTAAACTTATTGATCTAAAGATAATAAGATAAGGTTTGCTAGGAATTCTATGGGAATGAAAAATGGGAAAATAACAAAATATCTTCGAAACTTAAAATACCGTTTTGGGCTAGTAAACAATAAAATTCGGCCGAAATCCGAAAGTGCCCATATGTAAGGGCAAAGCTTTGCGTCTTGTTCGTGACACCGTTCACTCCAAAAAGGAGGTCATGGCCCAAATTTGAAGTACTTGGGCTTTGCTACAGATTTTATGCTTTTCCGACTGTTTTACGATCATTTCAGCCATTTGTTCTACATTATTTACACTCAATTTTTAATGCATTTATGTGTTTGCCAGAGCATAAACTACACGAGCATTGTTAAAAGAGACCAACCCCAGCCCATTCTACAGAAATCCAGAAAATTCTAGCACCAAAGTTGGTGCATCATGCAGGCATATCAATATGCTAGATAATTCTAGCATTATCTTAGTAAGTCGGTGGGTGTGTGTATAATAATATGCTAGACGTTTCTAGCCATGATTAAGTATGATTGTTTGTAATTAGAATGTACTAGAAACTAGGAAAACATAAGGCCAATTAGGAAAGCATGTCGGTGGCAGTGCATGATCATTAGCTAGAAAGATCTAGCTATTTGTACAATTGTGAGGTTGTCATACAAAGCACATGTCGGTGGGCTGATTGTAG